ACCCAAACCCCAAAAATGGGCCAGCGTCATGAGCATCAGCTGCACTCCCTGTTATCCAAACCCCAAAACCGGGGCAGCATCATGAGCATCAGCCGCACCCCCTGCTACCCAAACCCCAAAACGGGGCCAGCAGCATGAGCATCAGCCGCACCCCCTGCTACCCAAACCCCAAAAGCCGCGCCAGCATCATGAGCATCACCCGCACTACCTGCTACCCAAACTCCAAAACTGGACCAGCATCATGGGCATCAGCTGCACTCCCTGTATCCAAACCCCAAAGCCGGGGCCAGCATCATGAGCATCAGCCGCACCCCCTGCTACCCAAACCCCAAAACCAGGCCATCATCATGAGCATCACCTGCACTTCCTGTTACCCAAACCCCAAAAGCCGGCCAGCATCATGAGCATCAGCGGCACTCCCTGTTTCACAAAACCCAAAACCGGCCAGCATCACGAGCATCAGCCCCACTCTCTGTCAGTTAAAAGTACCGGGCCAGCATCATGAGCATCGGTCACACTCCCTGCCAGTCTCAAACTCCAAAACCAGGCCAGCATCATGAGCATCAGCTGCACTCCCTGTTACACAAACCCCAAAACCGGGCCAGCATCATGTGCATCAGCCGCACTCCCTATTACCCAAACCCCAAAACTGGGCCAGCATCATGAGCATCAGCCGCATTTCCTGTTCCCCCTACCCCAAAAACCGGGCCAGCATCATGAGCATCAGCCGCAATCCCTTTTAAACTCAATTCAGGCATGCCCCAACAGCACCATGCGCAGCAGGGGCACTCCCTATTACTCAAACACCCCAACCGATCCAGCATCATGAGCAGCAGCCGCACTCGCTGTTACCAAACCGGGCCAGCATCATGAGCATCAGGCGCACTCTCTGTCATACCCAAACCCCAAAACCGGGCCAGCATCATGAGCATCAGCCGCACTTCTCTTTGGCAAAATCCCAAAACCGGGCCAGCATCATGAGCATCAGCTGCACTTGTTGTTCTCCCTACCCCAAAACCGGGCGAGCATCATGAGCATCAGCCGCACTTCTTGTCTCCCACACTCCAAAACCGTGCCATCACCATGATCGTCATCAGCACTCCTCGTTACCCAAGCCCCAAACCCGGGCCAGCATCATGAGCATCAGCTGCACCCCCTGTCACCCAAGCCCAAAAGCAGGGCCAGCATCATGAGCATCAGCCGCACTCTACTCCAAAACCAGGCCAGCATCATGAGCATCAGCTGCACTCCCTGTTTCACGAAACCAACAACCGGGCCCGCATCATGAGCATCAGCCGCATTTCCTGTCACCCAAACAGTGCCAAACCCCAAAACAATGCCATGCGTCATGAGCATCACCCGCACTCGCTGCTACCCAAATCCTAAACCCCCGGCCAGCATCATGAGCATCAGCCGCACTTTCTGTTAGCCAAAGCCAAAAACCGAGCCAGCATCATGAGCATAAGCCGGACTCCTTCCTTCTCAAACCCCAAAACCGGACGAGCATCAAGATCATCAGCCGCACGTCCAGTTACCCAAACCCCAAAGCCGGGCCAGCATCATCAACCGCAATGCCTGTTCCCCAAACCCAAAAACTGGGCCAGCATCATGAGCATCAGCCACAATCCCTGTTAGACAAACCCCAAACCCGGACCAGAGTTATAAGCATCAGCCGCCATCCAGTAAGACAAGCCCCAAAACCAGCCAGCATCATGAGCATCAGCCGCATGTTACCCAAACCGAAAAACTTGGCCCG